CACTGTTCCTTTAACAGCAGCAATAAGGAAGCAGTTTCACCATCTTTAAAACTCTGAGCAAGGTTGCAGAAATCAACTGTAAGTCTGGGTTCTCTTTTTTTTTCTATCACTGTAGTTAAGTGTGTTTTTTTTTATTATTCTTAAGAGCCTTTTTTAGTTTACTTCCTTTTCTGGTATCTTTTATTATTTTTTTTTACAGCCATCTAGCTTTATAGAGATGACATCAGCTGTGTTATATATTAACTGGTATTGAGATTGACTGGTTGAAATGTAAGCACTATGCAGAACATTTACAGTCATTTCACTAAACCATTCAGACAATTTGGTTAAAGGTTAAGAAAACCCAGCAGATTGCATTGAGTTTGCAGAATTTTCTTGCTCTGGATGAGCATTTAGTGACAGTTGCTACTAGCATAGTGACCGTGACTTTGCAGCAATCCCTCATACCAAGCATTCTTGTTGCGATAGCAAAAGAGAAAACCTAAAGAAACCTCCAGCAGAACCAGCTCATGTTTAATAATTTTTAGGGGGAAAAAGTGTTATAGCGTTTATTTACATCTCTTTTCATACCTCTTTTTTTCTTTAGAGGATACACAGGAGAATTTAACTTGTGTGTTTGTGCAGGTTCTTAGACATAGAATACTTTTATTGTCGGTTTGTTAACACATAGTGTATACAAAACAAAAAGTTGTTTTGTACAGTTTTCAGACAGTAAATGAGCAGCAGCTTAGCGGTAATATGAACATTTCCATTTCATAAAATGCAGCAGTGGTCAAATGTAAACAGGGTGGGAGAAAAAACATGGTTCAAAACAGGTTGATATGGAAGTTCAGAGCATTGCAAGACAAATATACATGGTGCAAATATGCAGTAGAAGTTGAGTTCTTTTTGGTTTGGATTTATCAGTGTGATGCAGAGATTGTGACATGATTTAGAGATTTTTTTTTTAAAACACCTAAGCTGTCTGATGGCAGTGAGGGGAAAATTGTTGCAGAATCTGTTGGACCTGCATTGGATGCTGCAAAGTCTCTTCCCACAGGGCAGCGGGGAGAACAGTCCATGGTGGGGGTGTGAGGGGTCATTGATGATGTTACGGGCTCTGGACACAGCGCTGGGATGAAATGTCTGTAATGGAGGGAAGGGGAGCCCCGATGATCTTCTCTGCTCTTCTCACCACTCTCCTCACTTTCTTCCAGTCTGAGGCGCTGCAGCCTCCACACCACACAGTGAGACAGCTGGTCAGAACGCTCTCTATGGTGCTTCTGTAGAAGGTGGTGAGAATGGGTGGGGGCAGGTGGGCTCTCCTCATCCTCCTCAGGAAGTACATGCTCATCTGTGCCCTTTTGATCAGTGAGGTGGTGTTTACAGTCCAGGTGAGGGTGTCTGTGATGTGCACCCCCAGGAATTTGGTGCTGTTGACAACCTCTACAGCTGAGCTGTTGATTAGCAGCGGAGCGTGGTTAACCTGATTTTTCCTGAAGTCGACAATGATCTCCTTCATCTTCTCCACATTCAGGATCAGGCTGTTATCTCAGCACCAGCCCACCAGCTGCTTATGCGTTCTTAATTTATTACATGAGGACGCAGCGTTGGCATAAAAAAATCAGTTTGTAATGTTTCATTTATAACTGCTTTCCAGTCCCTTACACAATAGGCAAAAGTTACACAAGCAGCATCTCTTACCAACTACACAGCAAGTGAGTTCTGTGTGATAGAAAACAGGCTAATGTTAGCTCTCTTCCATGAATGATGTTAATCAAAGACGAGGACCAAAATTGTGTAGAGATCACACCCTTGTTGGCTTGGCTGATCTGATCAAAGTGCCCAAAAGCAAAAACAAAATAAAAAAATAAACTTTTACAAAAAAAAAAAAAAACAACATACTTTAACATTTGGGATTGTCGGGCATTTACTGGTACCACAACTTAAATTAAAATGAAATGTCTGATGTCCTTGAGATGACACCTTTAAAAGTTAAATTAACAAATATTTCAACATTTGGAAATAGAGTGAGGGAAAGGGGTCCTCTGGTCCTCTTGCAGCTTAGAGTATAGAAGCATAAGCAATATCAATTCAACTGTAGCTATAACAGTGAATAAACACAAAATGTTTCTTTGTCTAAGTCCTCTGTCTCCATCTGTCACCCATCACAGGTGCAGAACTTCTTTCCATATCTGAAGATATTCAAAGCTCTGGTTGTTTCTCAGCTGGCAGCTCTTAGCACTCAGATAAACTTATGAAAGTCATACCAGGTCCACTGATCATGGTTAATATCATTTAGGGAAAACCTTTTTTCTTAATTTTGTTCTTAGTTCAAAATATCAACACTTTATTCTCTCAACGTTTTCATCCCAACTTTCTTTGTTATTGATATCACATTTCAAATTTCAGAAACTTCTACTTTATCCTGAAACAAAGAGGAAACACGACTACCCCTAATAATTCTCTGCATCCCTTGAACTTTATTAGTACACCTTTAAAAAAAATCATCCTCATGATGAGATTTTAAAATACAACTTCTTTAGTTTTATGTCATGATTAATTGGTATATTTAAGTTCCTTTCTCACATTACATCTTGAAATGTATTTTTACTTTTATTATATGCTCAGGATCTGAAACAACAGTAAACAATAACAGGATAAGTTCTGCAACTGAATTGATTTCCTGGTTTGGTGAAGGGGTCCTGAAAAGCTTTGCCCACAGGAATATTAGTATTGTCCCGCTGCCATTAGTTACTCTCTGTAAACCAGTTAAATTATAATAGCATAAATTGAGTTTTGCATTCTGGATTGATCATTCTGGCAGTTTGGTTGCAGGATTCTCTTTGTTTTCCATATAAGACTATCAAACACAACAACTGGTGTTCTTTAGAAATAGCCAGACTATATATCTAGCTGTGTCACACATCAGTCTGAAAACAGAAAGGCAAACAATGGCTTTTCCAAAATGGCACTGATTCATGTATATCCTTATGCCAGTCTGTTCACTCAGAGCACTAAGTCCAACTTTTTTTGTGTTAGAATTAGTTGTAATTATTGTGCATTTTATTGCACAATATTGTATTGCTAAATTCTTCTAATTTCTTTAAAATTAAGAAGTAAAAGGATGGATGGTGTAATAAACCTAAGGTGCACTAGGCTTCAAACAGATGAGTGAATGTAAGTATAGACAAATATACAGACCCATTCAATAAACAAAAGTCTTATTGAAAAGTCAAATTATTTTATTGACTTTATTACATATTGAAACATGCAATTTAGATTAATTTGTACAGAGGCTGATGTTTCTTTAAGTTTCTTTTCAGAATCTTTAATCCATTAATTATGATGATTTGCTGTTTGCAAGTAATGAAAACACAATATTTAGGATTAGACTATCAGAGCAGACAAATAAATCTATTTTAGCATAGAGGGCTTGATGAAAATGTTCATTTTCATTAAGCCCTTAATGAAAAGAATGTTTAATACCCACTAAATGGCTATTATTCTTTAAAAAAAAAACTTTTAATTAATGAGCCTCATTTGAACATTTATTCTGTTTTAATAGATTTTGAATTATTTTTTTCATATATTTGTGTGATTGTTGGATATATTTTCTTCTATTTACATGGTAATTTTAGGTAGTCCCTTTTTTCAGTAAAGACATTTGCCTAAATTGAGAGTTTACAGAGTCTACTTTACACAAGACAATCTCATAATTTTATTTCACTTTTATTTGCACATGTTTAAATGGAAAGGGAACAAATTTACCACTTAAACCTTAAATATCTAATAAATGAATAAAAGATAAAGGTTTTCTTTTGTACATCTAACAGATTTTTCTAAAAGATGATTTGTGTGAGTGCACAGTCTCTGAGAACCTGCAGGAAACAGGACACACCTGAGAAGTTTGCTTAACCTGAGGCCAAACTTGACTAAATGCGTTGGAAAAAAAAAAAAAAACAATCACCCAAGACTTAATGATTTATGTTTAGACATGATTTAAATTTTTTTTTTTTCAATTAATCTACATACCTTTTCCTTTAGTCTTTTTTCAATCTCAGCTTTTAGGTTTAATATTTTAAATATATTATTATGATTTCTTTTTGCCTTTTATTTATTTTATTATTAATAAAAATTAAACACCTACTCCATTCAACGATAAAAGTATTTTAATCCATCTTCTTCTTTATTTGTGAAGTTTAACGGCGGTCGGCAAACAATTTGAAAGTCCATTATTAGTCCATTATAAAGTCCTTGGGCAGAACATCGCCACCTACCATGTATTTTATCCAAAACAGTAACTGGGGGACTACTTTTTGAGCGGATGAATACCATTTGATGCGCGCATTGACAGTATAAAATCCCCCGTCCTCGTAGCGGCAGAAGCAGTCAGAGAGCGGTATTCGCCATCTTACTTCTTTACAAAACAATAGAAAGCAACTGTAAGTACGGTTTGTTTTAAATTATTTTCTTTTTCTATATCGTGTTGTTCTTTATCAATGTCTACGTATTAACATTGAATTAATTTGTTAATTTTTTGATGTATATTTGTTCTGGGTTCGTTTTTTTTTTTTTTTTTTTAAAGCGATCTGGTTTTTACCGGAAATTGTATGGCAGTTAGCATTCTAGAAAGAGAAAATCCCGGCAATTTGGTCGCCAGTTTCTTTTATATATTTTTTGAACGAGTAATGCCGTCAAACACGGTTAATGGCGTTGTTGGGAAATGGCCAGACTTCATTTCTGGCGGTGTCATACATACGTGTGAAAGCAGGAAGGCAAACAATGGCTTTTCCAAAATGGCGTTGTTTCTTGAATACCCGCCCTGCTGCTAGTCGTTTCGCTTAGAACGCTTATGTTATATTTATGTTTCCAGAGATTTTATTTGCTCATCGCGCTACCGCCATAACGTTATCGAAAGACACTTTTACACAAATCTACCTTTCTTCTGCCTGCGTTCTCTAAAATGCCGTTGGTACCATTTAATCATTGTTTGTGGGTTTTTTTTTATAGCCAAAAAACATGCAGATCTTTGTGAAGACCCTCACCGGTAAGACCATCACCCTTGAGGTGGAGCCAAGCGACACCATCGAGAACGTGAAGGCTAAGATCCAGGATAAGGAGGGCATCCCCCCTGACCAGCAGAGGCTGATCTTTGCTGGCAAGCAGCTGGAAGATGGCCGCACCCTCTCTGACTACAACATCCAGAAGGAGTCCACCCTCCACCTGGTCCTCCGTCTCAGGGGTGGCATGCAGATCTTCGTTAAGACCCTCACCGGCAAGACCATCACCCTGGAGGTGGAGCCAAGCGACACCATCGAGAACGTGAAGGCTAAGATCCAGGATAAGGAGGGCATCCCCCCTGACCAGCAGAGGCTGATCTTCGCTGGAAAGCAGCTGGAAGATGGCCGCACCCTGTCCGACTACAACATCCAGAAGGAGTCCACCCTCCACCTGGTCCTCCGTCTCAGGGGTGGCATGCAGATCTTCGTCAAGACCCTCACCGGTAAGACCATCACCCTGGAGGTGGAGCCAAGCGACACCATCGAGAACGTGAAGGCTAAGATCCAGGATAAGGAGGGCATCCCCCCTGACCAGCAGAGGCTGATCTTTGCTGGCAAGCAGCTGGAAGATGGCCGCACCCTGTCCGACTACAACATCCAGAAGGAGTCCACCCTCCACCTGGTCCTTCGTCTCAGGGGTGGCCAGTGAATCATACCATGATTTTACTGCTTTAACATGACAAATGCACCTAATAAAGTGAGATCACATTAAATTGGAGTTTTGTCTGATTTCTTTTAGAATACATTTTGACACTTGCAGATTTAGTCATGCATAATATGTTCAGCTGCTGTATTGAACTATTTATTGGCTATAAGCCACCAGGTGGCACTGTCTTATCAGTAACTTAAAGCATCTAGTCAGGAGCTTTTGAAATGAGGAATCCTTCTCTAAAGTTTTTACACTGCAATTCCAGTAAAACTTTCCTGTTAACATTGCACTTTGATAAAGGATTCAGTCTTAACGTTTCTAGTCTGCATCCATAATGTTCAAAGCTGAACCCAAGCCTGGATCTGGCATTTATGAGAAGACTTCAGGCTGCCACTTAAAGCATTAAGGGTTGTCAAGTTTACTGAGTATTGGCAGTGATAGTAAAATCTTAATTTAGCTAATTTAATTTGGAAATCTGAAGACTAGGATTTCTTTTTTTCTAAAAGGCAGCACCATGATGGCTGACCTGCAGCTGTTACAACCACCAACTCAAAAGTTGTCAGTATGGGGTTTCTTTTTACTGTTGGGATGACCTCAAACTTTTAGTTTAGGTGGAGCCATCTTTGAGTTTTTGAAACGAGTTGATCTCAAAGCTTGTATCTAAAACAATTTTAACTGAAAATTCGATCTTTTAAAATCTCAAATGGGATGAGTCATGTAAAATTTTAAATTAAAGATTAATTCCTACTGAAAATAAATGGAGTTTAATAGTACTCTTAGATGAAGCTTTCATGGACAGCAGCCTAATTGGTTTATGCCTTTGGAAAGTGGTACAAAATCAAATGTACTTTCTACTCTACTAAATTTCTAATAAGCTAGCTGTTCCTTTTGGCTCAGCTTAGATTTGTAATCCACTGTTGCCAATTTTCTTTGAGATCCAGTTTGATCATTCAAGATAGCAGCCCTTAGGACTGAATTTGGACACCACATTTTTACAGATTTATCTTCAAATGTGAGACACTCAGGGCAGATATTTGTACTTTATACGTTTAAAGGTGTTAGCTTTTGCAATGTGGCCAAGTGCAATAAGATGAGTTTTCAAATTAGAGTGACCTTTTAGATTCAACCTTAAACCTGTATTTCATAGTGACAGTGTGAGGAGAACCCCTATTTTTTGGTCAGTTTTTTTTTTTAATTTTCAGAATTATTTTTCTTTTTTTTTTTGCAATTTTATACAGAAGTTTTTAAGTGTTGTAGAATTTGTAGCAGGTGGTTCTACTCGTCAATATATCAGGTGGTTTCTGAAAGTTAAAATATTCCTTAAAATTACTCTGAAATCTATACAGAAATATACTGAGATAACATTTAATTTGTATTTTTTTTAATGCTTAAATACCTTTAAATACATGCACTTTTGAACACAAAAGCATTATAAAAATTGAGTACTTTAATACTCTTATAGATGTTTGACCGAGTAACTTTTACTTGTAGTAGAATAAGATTTGACTATCAATACTTTTACTCAAGTAATACAGTTGAGTACTTGGTCCACTGCTGGCACTTTGGCAAAGAAGGATAAATGATCCTAAGCATGCAATGTTCTATTATAAACAGGAGCAAAAGAATGTTTTAGAATGGCCATATTAAAAGTGCTTTTAATTCAGATTTCGATGCCATAAGCCTATGAGTCGTTGCTAAATTATTTGTCCTCTTATGATAAATATTGTCCAGGAGTTCAATTCATGCATGACAAAAAATACGTTAAACTAGAGCAGACCTCTGCTAAGCAGAAAGGTTTGCCCCATATTGTGACTTACACCTGTAGCTAAAACTCGCGTATGATCTGGATAATTATGGAATTTTAATCAATTTTTCTTTGGCACGAGGCACACATCTGCTAAACGTGTCTTTAAAATCCTTTCTAAAATCATAAATTCCTGCATCCAGATAGTTATCTGGATCATGAACAAAATTCAATAGAATAATCCTAGGATTGAGGTTCACCTTTGGTAAAAATTTAATTAAAATCCATTCATCCTTTTTCAAGGTGTCCTGAACACAGACAGACAAACAACATAACCTCCGTGGTGGGGGGTAACAAAGAAGGCTGAAAAGAAAAATTAATTGGACAAAAATAAGTTGACAAGCAATGAGGCAAATTAAAAAAAAAGACTCTTATGCTAAAACCTTCATTGAAACTCCTAAATGGGGTGATGGACAATGTGTCGCTCACAGTCAGATGTACTAAATTACACTGCCTGGCCAAAAAAAAAAAGGGTCACTCACTCTAATACTTTGTTGGACCGCCTTAAGCTTTGATTACGGCACGCATTCGCTGTGGAATTGTTTCAATAAGCTTCTGCAATGTCAAAAGATTTATTTCCATCCAGTGTTGCATTAATTTTTCACCAAGATCTTGCATTGATTATGGTAGAGTCTGACCGCTGCGCAAAGCCCTCTCTAGCACATCCCACAGATTCTCAATGGGGTTGAGGTCTGGACTCTGTGGTGGCCAATCCATGTGTGAAAATGATGTGTCATGCTTCCTGAACCTGTCTTTCACAATTTGAGCCCGATGAATCCTGGCATTGTCATCTTGGAATATGCCTATGCCATCAGGGAAGGAAAAGTTCATTGATGGAATAACCTGGTCATTCAATACATTCAGGTAGTCAGGTGACCTCATTCTTTGAGCACATGCTGTTGCTGAACCTAGACCTGACCAACTGCAGCAATCCCAGATCATAACACCGCCCCCACAGGGTTGTACAGTAGGTACTAGGCATGGTGGGTGCATCACTTCACCTGCCTCTCTTCTTACCCTGATTCGCCCATCACTCTGGAACAGGGTAAATCTGGACTCATCAGACCACATGACCTTCTTCTATTGCTCCACAGTCCAATCTGTATGCTCCCTAGCAAATTGAAGCCTTTTTTTTCCGGTTAGCCTCACTGATTAGTAGGGATGGGAATCGAAAACCGGTTCCTGTTAAGAACCGGTTCCGAATTTTCCGATTCCATGGCATCGTTTGGCAGCTCGCTGAACGATTCTTTTTTCGATTCCCGCAGCAACAGAGCCTAGAGCGCCGGCTCTGGGGAGCACGACTTACGTCACGTTTTTACGTAAGTTACGCAAGTTACGTAAGTTACGCAAGTTACGCAAGTTGGAAGAACAATTCGAGGAGGAAGACAACGAGCTGCGGTCACTTTCTGAATCAAAGCCCCGTCTTTCCTTAGCCCAGAGGGTAGATCAGGAAATCAAGCTCTATAAAAGCTTGCCCTCCATCCCCTGCAGGGATAGCGCCACACTGTGGTGGTGGAACAAGCAAGATACGCTGCCCTTGCTATCTGACTGGCTGAAAACTACCTCTGTGTGCAGGCTTCCTCCACCCCATCTGAGAGTGTGTTCTCCATGGCTGGAGACACCGTAAGCCCTGAAAGATCCCGTATCCTTCCAGAAAAGCAGATATGCTCATCTTTCTGCAAAATAACTGTTAATTTTCCCTACTACTGTTTTATAATTAGTATTTTTTGTTATTTAAAATAGGTTATTATCCCATAATTTGTTATTAGACATTGTTGGTTATTAAGTTTGTTCTTGTATTCATTTTTCATTTAAACACAGATGTTACTCCAGTTTCACATTTCCTGTGGACATCTTGATCTTGTTGAGTTTGTAAGATTGTGCAATAGTTAAGTAAACAAAGTTGATTCTGATAATCAAACTGTTTGTTCTCCTTTTTCCCCCAAATTGGAATCGAAAAAAGAATCGATAAAGAATTGAATCGTTTCATAGAATCGAAAAGGGAATCGGAATCGTGAAAATCTTTTCAATTCCCAACCCTACTGATTAGTGGTTTTCTTACGGCTACACAGCTGTTCAGTCCCAATCCTTTGAGTTCCCTTCGCATTGTGCGTGTGGAAATACTCTTACTTTCAGTATTAAACATAGCCCTGAGTTCTACTGTTGTTTTTCTTCGAATTGATCTCACCACACATTTAAGTGATCACCGATCACGATCATTCAGGATCAGGGGCGGATTCAGGAAATTTGGGGCCCTAGGCAAAGACAGGCAGGGGGCCCCCTGAGAAGAAAACCCATAAAACAGACCCATTCTACAGATAGAGAAATGTTAATAGACATCCATTATTTGTTCTAGGTTTTGTCCCTCTCTTCTTGTCCCTTTTTCCTCTCTATTTATCAGCGTTCTGATGGCATTTTAGCCAAAGGATTTTTATCAAAAACATAATTAATGTGCACAAATAAGGATTAGTTGTATTAACCACACATGGAAACAGAGTTTTATGGGGCCCCCAGGAACTTGGGGCCCTAGGCAACTGCCTAGTATTGCCTAATGGTAAATCCCCCCCTGTTCAGGATTTTTTCCAGCCACATTTCTTCCTTGAAGATGATGGGTCCCCACTATCCTTCCAGTTTTTAATAATGCGTTGGACAGTTCTTAACCCAATTTTAGTAGTTTCTGCAATCTCTTTAGAGTTTTTCTCTGCTTGATGCATGCCAATGATTAGACCCTTCTCAAACAGACTAACATCTTTTCCACGACCACAGGATGTGTCTTTCTACATGGTTGTTTAGGAAATGAGAGGCAAGTCATTGCGCCAGTTGGGGTTAAATAACTTGTTGCCAGCTGAAAGATAATCGCCCATGCAGTAATTATCCAATAGGAGGCTCGTACCTATTTGCTTAGTTGAATGCAGGTGGCAACGTTTTTTTTTTGGCCAGGCAGTGTATTTTATAATTGATCATAAAAAAATTAAAGACATGCATAATGTGGCTAATGAGCTAAGCTCTTATTTTGTTAATGTTGCACCAAATCTTGCCTATAGTATTCCTAAACATGATGCTGGGGGAAAATAAAATAAAGCAAGGTACTTCAGTATATTAAGGAGCAGTTAGTGAAAATGAAATTAGAAGAATTTTGGTAAATACCAAGAATAGGAAATCAACCGATAGTGACCAGATTGATACTGTATGTCGTTAAAACTATAGACTGTATAGTTCAAACTTTGTGTTGTATATATAATCTTTCTGTCAGCACTGGT